AATGCATTTCTGTTAATAGATATTCTTTTTGAAAATATTGATATCTTTCAATCATGATTATTTTTAGGATTATGATGATCACTTACTGAGTAGCCAAACTCATCAAACTATAGTCAACATTTTTTCAGGATAACTACGGATTCATTTTGAGTACTCGTCAAGGGCAACTTTGGAAGATATTGTAGTTGTGTCTAAGTTTTTTTTTTTGTTACTTTGTAAGAAATCGTCAGTGTAAATTTGTCCTATCAATAGATGTATATATGTTTTGTCTGTCACATCTCAGGAATAATAGTACTGTAAATTCTTGGGGTGTAACAATTTTGATACTGGATAGGAGGGTACAAGTATTGCGCAACAAAGAGATTCCTTTGGCCTGTATATTATGGCAGTACCATTCGAGAGAGGAGTTTACTTGAGAACGAGAATATGAAATCAAATAAAAGTACCCCAATCTTTTTCAGCTATCAGGTACACAAATTTAGAAGACTAAATTTCTTTAAGGGTGAAGAAAATAATTATCCGTAAATAAATAAATAAATAAAAATAATAATATTATCAATCAATAATAATATCAATAATAATAATATATTAATTATATATATCCAGAAATAATTTTGAGTAAAAGTTCTTTGTGATAATAATACATCGTAGAGACCATTCTTTTAGCCTTTCTTAAAATACTTCAAAAACCAAAATATTATTAAATATACGAACAAACCATTTCTATTTGGGTGGACCTTGGGTCCACCATCTTTTCCTTTCTTAACTTTTCGAAAGGATAAGTTTAACCTTTTAGGTGCCTTAATATGTGCCCCATGCCATTCTCCATTGACACCTCTTTTGATGAGGTGTTATAAAAAAAAGAAAAGAAAAAGGTTCTCCCTTGTATCCCTTATATACGTATGAGTTCTTAGGGTAACAGAAAAGTACGCTTTGATATTTCTCTTGGAGTAGTCGTTCTCCTACCATCCCTTTTTAACAGCTTAGTAATGAACTTTTTCTTCGCTTATATAATTTTTACTTTTGCCATGTAGTCGGTAATTTCAAGGGGCTTGACCATCCGACAACGGTTAGTTCCTCCAAAGAAAATAAAAAAGTGAAAATAGTAACCGTACAAAGTAAAGCTTTGGGACTCTAAGCCTTGAATCTCTTAGTCCATTTTGAAGGTCCAGACCTATATATGGTTCCGATGAATCAAATCTGATGAGCAACTGTAAGTGACATCATCTTCCTGAAAAATAGTCTGTTTTAATAAATAGTGATATTTTCGTCCAAGATCTTTATTTTATAAGTTTTATGTGCAAATGACTGCCTTATTATTTGAAAACTAATATTTTTGCATTTGATTATAGCATTGTATGTGAAATGTTTATTTGCGAATTGACATCCCATAAATTGTGATAATTCTGTATTCTTGGATTTCTATAAGAGTTTTTCTATACATACTAGATTAGCAATTATGCTAGAATGTCTTTACGAACTGCTACCTTTTTGAATTTGAGCCCAAAATATTTGATTGGCTATTTTTGAAATGTTATTGAAAGTGACTGTTATTAATGGTTTCAGTGAAATTCATATTAATAATTTCAGTGATATGTTGAGTACATGATATTGCTGCTTTCGAATGTTTAAAGAGATTTAGAAATACTTTAAGTATGCAAGTGGACTCAATCGGTTCGCCGGTGAGGTATAAGTGAACATATCCGGTACGTCGGTAGAGATTAAGTGGACTCATCCGGTACGTCGGTAAGGTATAAGTAGATCTGCAGGGATTAAGTGGACCTATCTGGGACGCCCAATAGGGATTATGTGGAACCATCAGGACGCTGATGGGGTATATAGGTGACCTATTTAGGACGCCAGTAGGGTATTTTGTGAAATCCTTTGAATTATGCACTGTCGTTAAATGTTATATGCATTTCAAT